TTTGGGTTTACTCCGCTCCAGCATCGGGCTGGCCTCTGAGCGCTCCCCTTTTGCACAGCCCTGTTTTAAACGCGGCCCTGAGAAAGGAAAGAGCCGTGAACATTCTTGACATTTTTTATCCAATTCTCCTTGGCTTGCAATATAAATAAAAACCAAAGCATTTTACAGTTGTTTGACAGATTTTCATCTTTCAAACAGAAAAGCTCCTGAAGGAATGTGCCAGTTCAGCACATGCTCATATTATTATTAGCAGGGACCTATAACTCACAGACAAGCACCTCACATGTGCTGGTGGCACCTCTCCCATCCGCTGCCTCTGGAGTGCAGTGGGGACATGTGGCTTTCAGCATCGCAGCCTGGAGCCCCCAGGAGCAAAAAAAGGGAGCCAGACATCAGGGGGAAGGCCAGCCCAGGGAATCTATATGGCCTTTTGAGTCAGTATTTTCAAGGTTTGTCCCTGCTTTCTGCACACTGAGGAGATGCAGGGTACTTGGGAAGCGGCGGTGGCGGCTCCGATGAGGATTGACAGGAAACAAAATTCCAGGAAACGCAAAAACCTGAACAGACAGAGTAATCTAAGTGAGGCAGCTGACTCAGGAGCTGCACCGGGATCTCGGGGCCATGGGTATGAGGACATGAGGATGGCAGAAGCTCCATCCAGAGCTCCAGGACTCAGGCGAGGATGTCGATGGCCACAAAGCTGCTCTTCAGCTGCTCCATTTGCAGCATGGCACAAAATCAGCAAGTGCTTGAGTCAAGGCTGGCAAAGGGACGGCTGGGCAGAGGTGCAGGGTGCCCACAGGGCTGGCTCCCCACTGCTTTAGTAGCAGGTTGGAGAGGGCTGGAAAACACAGATATGTCCCCACAGCTACTCCTGATGAGCAGGACCCCAAGAGGCATCACCTGCCTGTACCCAGCACCACACAGAAATGGAAATTAAAACTCTAGGAGGAGATATAGGGGTGGCAGGGTCTAATCTGGGAGGCTGAGCATGAACTCTAGGCTCGTGTCTGCAACCCACGAGAAGAAAAGATCATGGGGAAAATGAGGAGAGGCAAAACAGAGCTGTGACAGCTCTGGCTCCAACACAGACTCCCTGTTGTGACCTTTGTCGAGTCACGGAGCCCTCCCTGGGGCGGCAGCTCCTCCGTCCACGGAGGGCAGTGAGGGAAATGCCAGCGCCGCGGGCCACCTGCTTGGAGCAGCACACGCCTTGCAGAGGGACCACTCGGATGCGGGTGTGGAAACGTCCCCGGCAGCTCGGAGATGGGGTACTGGAGCCACCGGGAATCCCGATGCCCCTACAGGGCCTGGAAAGCTCCTCTGCAGCTTCCCAAGCAGCAGTGAGGGATCCAAGCCCAGAGCAGCCTCGCCGTGGCTTCGGGTTGTGCCAGCCTCCTCTCCTGCCATTGCAGCACGGCCTGCCCAGCCCAGTGATTTATTTTTCCCAGGAACAGCCAGTATTGGAGGGCTCTGGAAGCAGTGCCAGCTGCAGGCAGGCTACTGGAGGCATCTTTCTGCTGACCTCTACAGGCAACAGCACTGATTTCCCCTCTCTCCCAGTGTCCCTGGCTAATTCAGTAATTCTTTACCAGCTTTTCTATTAAAACAATGCAACTTTACAAGATTTGACCCTGACAAGTTTGTTGCCATTGCTAGGAGCCCCATAAGAAAGCCCAAACCCAATCAAATATAATTGGGAAAGTAAAAGGCAATTACAGAGCCAACATTTGCGCAGCGAAAATCTCTATGTTGTGCTGCAGAGAGTGAGGAAAAGCTAATCTTTCTGCAGTTGAAATCATCACCCTCGATTATTAACTTAGAGGATTAGGAATGGCACTAATTGAACAACAACAAAACCCAAATGTAATTACCCTGTCCTTTCTCATCATCACAATCTCCTCGCGTCTGATGTTTGCGTAAAAATGGAATGAGGCAAATGAGATAAACCCGACGTGTAAATTCATTAAAGCTGTTAAGTGTAATTGATTCCAGCTTCTCGGAGAGTCGCAGGCTGCCCTGTGCCGGCAGGGAAATGTCTGTCCTCTGTTCCCTGACACCCAATTCTGGTGACAGGCTGGGGAGAGCCCAGTCTCAGCCTCCTGAGCCAGCTTTGCCTCTGAAACGTTCCAAAGACAACCCAGACCCATTTTGGTGAAGGAGAACGTGCCCGGGAGCAGCCTGCAGAGCTGGGGGGGACTTGCCTGATGTCGTAGCCGTACATGTCCTTTTCTGGCCGCCCGTGGATGACCCAGTGAGCCAGTTCCCTGCCGCAGCCGCCTCCAAGCATCATTCCTAGG